AAATATCTTAAAAGTGTATTTTGTGACCCAGAAAGAGGAATATTACAACTAAGTAGCTGCCGCCATTGTTGGAATTCAACTTTTGCGAGATCTCGCAAAAGTCCTTCTTATTTTTTTCTCCCATGTCCCCTGCGGGGCTCCGTAACAAACAGACGAACGGTCTTTTTTACATGACGATCTCTCAGTTGTGATTTGCTGCTGCATAAATGAAGTGGAACGGGATTGGCTGACAGACGTCTCTGCTGTACAGTCTGTGAGGTTCATCCAGACTCGGTGTTAATACAATCATCACATGACTAGTTTGACTCAAACAAAAGGCGTCATTGTGACGTTACAGTTATCGGTGGCCGTGTCAGGCTCAGGTCCTCACTGCAGACCATTAGCTGAGTCTCATGACTGCTGCCTGCCTTTAAACAGGCTCACATGACGACCATGAACGGGACAAAAGTGTTGTGATGGTTGTGAGCAGTCATCTGACCTGATATCCCGCCACTCTTACCCTGCCTGAGTCTCCGTACGCTAACAAATGGTTCATCTGAAAGCTCTGAAATCATATCTGTTATTTACAAACAGCAGCAGGAACTTAAAAGAGGAAAAAACACGTTTGATTGTTGTGAGATCAGCTGTTACCCACACACGACGATGACACAGCCGATAGTTTACAACAAGAGCCTGAACTACTTTAGTCAGCGCGGTCAAATCATACCAGTGTTAAAGTCCATAAACACATACAGGAAGTCACAGATTCAGGACACATAAATATAAATGAAATCGTTTTTGGGGCAGAAGCTTACCGAGCGTTTTCAAATCGAGCCTCAGGCGTTAACACATGATCCTGACACGAACTTCCCTTCTCTGCTCGGCGCTGCCCAGCCCGACTCGCCCTCCCTGCCCTCCCATTTATCTGCTTTCAGTAATAATTCAGTTTGTGCTGCAGATACAAAAGTACGTCTGCTCGGACACAAAGGAAGCCAGTGCACAGTTAAACTGGGGTCTGAAGCCTCATAGCAACACTGAATCGTTACATTAGCCACAAAATAACTGCATAGAAATAATTACATTCTACAAGCAGCAACACTTGTGTGTCTTTTGTGTTGTTGTTGTGGAGAAGAACGGCTTTCTGCTGTTTACAGAGACGCAGCTTATCTGTGATAAACGCTTCCTTCCTCTAAAAGCAGCAGCTCACACACCAATGTGGCACTTTTGCCTCTAACAAGCAGATTCAGATGTAATTTGGGGTTTTTTGGTGGGGGGGGCTGTCATGGTTGTTTGTGTCTTGTGATCAGATCAAATGCTGCGTCCATAATATTACTTGGAAAGATGAAGGAGCTGCTTCAGACGCTGCAGTAAAGTCACATTTATTTTGTTCTGCACTCGTCTACTTCCTGTCAGCGTCTTTAATTATCTCAGTGTTGATGCCACTATCATGTATCATATACTGTGCACTTTGTATTCCCTTTGACTGACTACAGAAACACTGCCTGATGTGCTTAACTGGCAGGTTTACTATGACGCACTTGTGCATCTCGGTTTGGCCTGATTGTGGGTAGAAACATGAAACCAAGAGGAGGTAATTCTTCATCATCACATGACGCTTACATGTAACATCCACTCTTTACTGTAACGCCTTACTTTCCTTAAGTGATTCAGGTTCATCCGACTGACTCACACAGTAACACTGTCCTCCTCACACAGCTGGACAGTCTCTTTGTGAGCTGCCAAAAATAAAACTCGTCAGAATCATCAAATATCTGCCTCAGTTTGTTTCACGAACACAAAGATAAACCCAGTGGAGACAAACCTTTGCAACCACAACAACCCAGCAGCCCAAAAATACGTTTTTATTAATAGCAGGGTCGACGATGATGAAAGTCAGCGCGGCGAGAAAAGTCGCGTTTCACGTCAGGACAGTTTTAAAAACAGACCAAACAGCGATGTGCTCATTTCTAATCTTGGAATCACGGCTAATTTTATCTCTAAAGGCAGCTCCTCCATCAGAAACGTGAAGAGACGAGTGCTCAACACTTTAGCTCGGGGAGGAGGCTGCTTTCATGTGTAAAAAAACAGATTTAAATCCACACCTGGTGGGTGAACCTTATCTATACGTACCTGGTAGCGTTCGATGGGGTCTTCTTGTTGCAGCTGGCTCTCTCTCAGAGTCTGATATTCCTTCTCAAACTTCTTCAGCTTTTTGGTCGGGACCTGAAAACAACAGCAAAGTTAATTAAATCATCGTTTTACTGTTGACTTTGTTTACTTGGCCTGATAAAAATCTCAGCCCAGCCCAGTTGTTTGTGAGCTGGGGGGGGGGGGGGAATAGGGAATTGGATAAAACAGTCAGTGGCTCTCAGCTCTTGCATCATCTTCCTGTGTCGGTGGGAACCATCAGCTACTTCTCTCTGCACCAACACTGCTTTCATGACAGGATTAAGCAGCAGGGGTCAAAGGTCAGAGTTAGGTGTCACGTTGAGAAACAAACCAACATGAAACAACATCCATGTGATGCGTCACGTGACATCAAAGCGATCAAACTCTGCGGTGTTGTGGCTCGTGTTGCACAGTTTCTACTCTCTGTTGCTCCGTCTGCCTTTATCAGCGTTAATATCTGCGGCACATCTGCGTGTTGTTCTGCTGCTTTCCCACGAGACATCATTAGACACAGGAAAAACAAACCAAACAAGCACCCGCTCGGCTCACAAGCTTTACAATGTACTGCTATAAATCAGCAAGTGGTAACCGTGGATCAGAAACGTCCACTGCACGCTGCACGATAGACACGTTACAGGGCAACTGTGCTGTCACTGCACGTGCTCAGGCCTCACTGTGAAATCATTTCATTTTTTGTTCTGCAAACCAGTCACGGCAACTTGTAAAAAGCACCAAATCCATCATGAAATGATTTTGATTCATTATCAGACTGAAGGTTTTAACAGACGCTCAGATCAGTGAAGCATTACCAAAGTCCTCGACACCGAGAGACGCCAAACACCACAGCTTTACTCACATAATTCACTACATTAAGTGTTTCTGGTTTAGGTGGGTGGTAACAGCGTTGCCATAGCGCCAACTACTAGGGCTGGGGGGGTCACAGTCACATGACCCCCTCCTCTGAGACTCCTGTGTGTTTGTAGTCGTCGTGTGTCCTCCACTGCTGCCTGCTTCACACACGATGTTACACTGAAGCAGCATGAATGAAGCTAGCAGCGCTCACAGCCTCACTGTAGGAATACTGTCGACTCCAGAAACAACCAGAAAGATAAAAAACTTCCTTATTTGGAAGAAAAGCATTTGTACTGGAGTTGTTTAGTACAGGGAGTACAGAAGCTGAGGCACTGACGAGAATGCACTGTACATTTAAGATAATATAGATAAAAAGAAAAGACCTCAGCATCCAGTTTTCTCTCTTCAGCTTCAACACTGCAAACGTTTCTCCAGTAAGACCAAAGCTGGTGAACAAGCATTACAAGGAGCTCAGTGTTTGAACTACACTGTAACCCAGGATGTAACCTGTGCCCACGTCACAGGTTACATCCTGGAAAATGAGCCAACACAGCGCAGCAGTATGTTAGCTTAAGACAGGGATAAAAATCCCGCTGCACATTTCCATTAGGATTAAAAGCCAGAGGACGAGTTGTTAAGAGCGCCCACCTGGGCAGTCATTACCTGTCCTTGCCAGTGACCTGCGAGTTAAATCTCGACTTTACGACTCGGGCATCGGCGAACGAGCGTCACGCTGTTATCTATCGGACATTCAATTCCCGAGCAGATAAGGACAAAACGAGTATGAGAGCTGTTATCTGTGTGGGAAGAAAGAGCAGCCCGGCCTCTGCGGCTGTTAATAATCGCTTTATTGTAACAAAACAATGAGACAAATCGAATGTGCTGTTTTCTCCTGCAGGGCTGCCAGATTCAGTTCAACTACAGAGTCACTGCGTGGCGTTTTGGACGCCGCCACGCTGTCCAAGTTTCTCGTTATGGAGTCTGTGTGCGTTAGGCGAGTGGGCGACGACGAGCTGCCTAACGTGCGTTTTTAAACAGCTGACGCTTCAGTCCAGCAGCGGCAGTTAGCTCCTTGTTTAAAACAATATTTAAAAAGAGCCAGCTTCCATCTCAGCTGATCTATACGTAAACCTCCTGATACGAAACAGCCATAAATTACTGTACCAACAATCTGTGAGAGAGAGAGAGGGTTTCAGCGAGGGCGAGGGAGTGACTCATGCTTCCTGAGGTTTGCTGTTTTAAATAAACCTCCCTCTCTGCTGCGTCGCATTCACTTTCCTTTATCGTCTCATGTCACCCATTCAGGCGTTCTCTACAACCGAATCTAACCAGTAACGAGCTGCACACACTCTGCGTGCGATGGCTCCACACAGGAGTTAGACGGGCGCATTTATTCAGTTTCTGCTGCTC